TATGCCCGACAATGTTTTCTTCTCATAAGAATTTTGTTGAATATGAGATTCTAAACTTGTCTTTCTGTTTTAGTTTTGCTCTATTTTGTTATGTCTTTCTTCCATACTTTAAATATTCTCCTCCATTTAATTGTTGCTTGGAATAATTTAGAAGATTTTGATAAAATCTTTATCTTTGTCCCTCTGAAGTAAGGCTCCACTATGTGTGATTTTCTTTCTTTTTTTAAATTTAATTTAATTTTATTGTAAAGGTGATGCAAAGAGGCTTTATAATTCCATAAGTAAGGTAGTGAGTTCATTTCTTGTCAAGCATTGTTACCCTTCCCTCATTTTTTATTCCACTTTCCCTCTGACTCACCACAGCTAAGAGACATTGTGTTAGAACCAGACAGTCTTTCTTTTTCTCTTAAAAATATATTTTATTATTACTGTTCAGCTAATACACAGATGTATTGTACAGGTAATGTTATAATTATGTAAGTCAGATAATAAATGTATTTCCTTTTTAACTCTGCCACCCATTCCTATGTGCTCTCCCAGTTTTTCTCTCCCATCCCTACTCACAGTTTTAGTTTAATTTAAATTTAAATTTTATTGTCCAGGTGTTGTACCTAGGGGTTACAGTCACATAAGTAAGTTAGTCAGTATATTTCTTGCTAACTTTTTACCCCTGCCTTTATTTTTTTCCTGCTTTCCCTTCCCCCAAGCCCTCCTCCAAAGTTGTACAGAACATTTCCAACATACGGTTTTGTGAGTATCACGGTTGAATTGGTTCTCATTTTTGTCCTTTGACTCACCATTTTTTGTTACCCTTCCCTAATTGATATAAACATTTATACAATACCCAGGGTACCAAAATCAAATACAGTGACAACAGGAATTATACCATAGGGGAAAGTACATGTAAAAGAAACAAAAAAAATCCACATAGTACATTAAAAAAACAACAACAACAAAGAAAAACCTCCTGTGCCCATATCTTGGGATTCATTTTTCTTAGCATCATCTTATATGATCATATGTACATAGCTATTGAGCTATTCTGCTCATCTGCTAAGATTATCCTAGATGTATACTATTTATTACACATAAGGGAAACCATGGGACCTATGTTCTTTTGGGTCTGCCTTATTTCACTTAATATGATTTTTTCCAAGTCCTTCCAAATGGGACCGTGTCATTCTTTCTGATAGAAGTATTGAATTCATATATATCTTCTTTTTGGTTGGTCATGGGGCTTGAA